TATATTTAACTTCACCTGCTTTTATGCAAGAACAATGATTTCAGCAACTAGAGGACTAGGTAATTTTTTATCTGGCTCGTACTGTTTTTAATATATTGTACATACTCACAAATAAACTGAGAATTTTAGGTGCCAAATTCACCTCCAAAATTGAGATCTGCAAATTCATGAATGGGCTTATCCATGAACATATACAGTAATACCATTTTGTTGTACTTGCATAGGTCAGCTTATTCATGGATGGCACATTTCTCATGGTATTATTTTAAACAATTGGAAGGTCTAGTTATCTGCAGATGGGCTTATACACAAGTATACACTGTAATATTCATTTTTGAAAGTAATTATGCAGCACGTCTCTAAACAGATGTACAAGAAAAGGGATTAGGTAACCTGTATATGGTTTTATTACAGCTCCAAGTGCCTTTCTTGTTGATCTTAGTGATTAGGCTAACAGGTATTACAGTACAACACTTCTGAAGTATCTGTGCAGCTCAGATGGCAAATTGGTTTCCCCAGTTTAGAAGGAGGAGGATTTCCTTATAAAAGTACTGAAGATGTTTAATTACCACTTATTATTATTACTTTTTAAAATCCCAACTACTGACAAGAAGGCTTGCAGCTTTTTCCTATTCTTTAAATAATAAGGCCAATAGTGCCAAAAATGGCTTTTCCCAGTACAGTGTCAAACATGTTTATTGGCCAAGTGTGATTGGACATACAAGGAATTTGTTTCTGGTGCATAAGCTCTCAGTGTACATATAAACAGTGGTGGGATTCAAATAATTTAACAACCAGTTCTCTGCCCTGATGACCAGTTGGGTAGGTGTGGCTCGGTGGTCATGTGACTGTGGGCGTGGCCAACTCAACATCACTCACGTCGATGGGCGCTTCGCCTTAGCTGTTACAATGTAATAAGGGTTAACCATAGAGGCAGTTTCTGTAAGCAGGGCAATAAAGATTAGGCTAGAAACAACACCAGAACGTTTCCTTCCTGCCTTCCTTACAGGATTAGCCCTGTAAAGTAGAAAAAAAAACAAAATAAGATTTCTTCCAACAACTGTTTCTCCAACCTGCTTAGAAAGTTAACAACCAGTTCTCCCGAATAGGTACGAACTGGCTGAATCCCACCACTGCATATAAAGTAATATAAGATATCAATCGTAAAAAATAAAAAGAAAGATGAGAAGGATAATATTGTTAGACATAAGACAGTTCTGTGGGAATTAGGTGTTCAACAGTTTAATTGTATTAATTAAATTGTATTAGCAATTTAGTTAATTTAATTAAATTAATACTTTGCAGTACAAGGCAAACTATTTAAAAAACCCAATTGTCATAAAGGTTTATACACCAACTGCTCCTAGTTTACAGTAGTGTCTTCCAGCTTGTGTTAGTTCAAATGTTGTGGTCCAGTTTTCCTGCTGTGCTTTACTTTCTTCTAGGCTACCTGTTAAACTTTGCAACAGCCACTTAAATCAATGGCTACTACCCTGTAATTCTCTAATCTCTGCTACAGCAACTGCTAAGAATCAGCCGTAACAGCATAGTAGTCCTAAAAAGTATGTAAAATGTCATACACCTTTGAAAGCTGGCAGAATTTTCTTTTGTTATTTTTCTTTACTTGAGCTCTAAACCTTTCTGCTTTGCTTTTTAAAAAAAGAAGTTTCACCTCATTTCATCTTTGAGCAGTTGGCTATTTGGCAAATGGGGTAAAGATCTTTTACCTGAAGTGATTGGTTTTCTTTTTTAAAAAAATGCCTATTGGAAGAGTAAATAGACTTCTTGCAGTTTGTACGTTAGGCAAATATTATCGCTATTATACTATGCCCAATAAGAATTGCAGAGGGCCTTAAAGAACCAAATCAGGAAAAATACAAGAAAATATTTTTTTGTTTTTGGTTTTTGTACCTGCGCATGTGTGCATTTGGATGTTTTAATTTTATTTAATGTCATAGGTTGTATGCAAGTGTAAGAATCTCCCCTAAAAAGGAAAGCAATTGCCAATTTGAATAGAAAGTTGGCATGGCACAGCAGCAGGGGAATTGTGGGGTGGAGGTCTGTAATAGCCTGAAATCTGGACTGAATCCTTTGTAAGCCACTGCCAAAGGGAGGTTTTTCTTAAAATTGGCCTCAGGTTAACGTGCTAGAGCAGTTTAAGAAGTGTACTGTTTATAGAAGAGACATGCTTGGAGTACTATTCAGACGGTTTCTGTGCTTCTTTCCAGCTAATGCATTTTTGTCTACTTGGTTAGCCATTTCTAGACTCTTAAGAGTTAGTGTCTTGGGGATACTAAGCCTTCCCCAGCTTAGGATCCCTTAAAATCTGGACTATAATTCCCACTATCTTCAGCCACCATAGTCACTACTGTACAGCAAGACAGTTCCTATATTTCACAATGGAACGTGTGTCACAGGGCTGTTAAATCAGTGGTGAAATCCAATTTTTACTACCAGTTCTGTGGGCATGGTGTGGTTTGGTGGGCGTGGCTTGGTGGGCATAGCAGGGGAAGAATACTGTAAAATCTCCATTCCCACCCCACTCCAGGGAAAGGATACTGCAAAATATCCATTCCCACTCCTCTCTGGGACCAGCCAAAGGTGGTATTTGCCGGTTCTCCAAACTACTCAAAATTTCCGCTACCAGGTTCTCCAGAATCTGTCAGAACCCGCTGGATTTCACCCCTGTGTTAAATGGTATTTAACATCCTTTGCCCTCCCCCACTTCGGTTCGATTATGTTTGATTCTCAGAGACTGCCTGGACAAATCTCTGAAATTTTTTTGGTAAAGTTTTTCCGAAGAGCTTTGGCATTGCTTCCTTTCTAGGACGGACGGAGAGTGACTGCCCAAAGTCACCCAGCTGGTTTTGTGCCCAAGTGGGACTAGAATTTACAGCTTCTGGATTTCTAGCCTGATGTGGTAGAAACCAACAGACTCTCTCATTTAATATATACTATAATAAATGTTGGAGAATTTACTACATCTCTAGCTCCAATTCTGACTTGGCCCAGCCAGCATGGCCAATGGCAAGAGTGGCTGGGAAGCAGTTCTTCAGCAGTTTCCCCTTCTTGAATTTGTCAGCAGGCTGATTTGCATTCTGCTATTTTACACCATTCCTGCTCAGTATAGTAATGCACATGGTTTAAATGAGAATGAATGAATCCTCAGCACTACAGGGAGGTGCTGCTGATCAAACTACTTATCTTACATCAGTGTCTCATAACTCTCTAACTTAATTCTAGTTGTGATGGACTTTACTCTTTCAAGATTGTTAAACTGGTGGAACTGTTTGCCCTCAACTGGTTTCTACCAGTTAATAGATCAGATTTCATTAGAGTACGATGAAGCAGAGGTGTGGCTCTTAAAGCTTTCTTAACAAGCAATCTAATGGAGAAAATAAGTGTAGTTGAAACATGCCAATTAATCCACCTGATAAAAGAGATAATTCAACTTGGGAGGAAGAAATGGTGAAGACTGCTCCACTAAAGGTGGAGCTGATGACTACAGCAGAATGAAGGGTGTCCTTTTAAAAAGATGCTGAGTATGATTTTTGGGAAAAGACACTTCTCCCCTTATTTTCCAGAGCTCTCAACATGCTGGAAACTGTTGCCTTGTGGTCTCCCTGCAAGAAGCAACTTTCTGGAGCACTTGTGAGCCATTTCAAGTCCACTCCTGGTCCAGAGAGGAATACTTGAATTTAATTTCTATTAAAATTGCTACTATCTATTTCTTCCCAAGAGGCAACCAGGGTACAACAGGAGAATGTCAGCACACTTATAAATCAGGCATATCACTTCCTTCCTTCTGTCCCTTTAACCACATATGTATGTTTACCTGAGGATATAAGTGGATATTATCCTGGACTTGCTGCCACTTTGATTTGCAGAAACAAATTTGAAGCAAAAGCTCAAAGAACACCAAGGATCCCAGAGTTCAACACTGAGCTACAGGTATTTTTTTTTTCCAATTGGAAACAAAAGTTTAACTTTGGTTTTAAATGTAAGCCCTTGCAAACCAGGGGTGGGTTCTACTTACCTTTACTATTGGTTCGCAATGGGGCCGCGCGTGCTTCTGATGACTTTGGGGTCAGTGAGTGGAGCCCCCCACCGGTTTTACTACTGATTCTATAGAACCGGTCTGAACCAGGAGCAACCCACCACTGTTACAAACTAAAAGTAACCCAGGGAAGTGAATACTCTTGAGTTTGTACTCCTGCAGAGCTTCATAAAATCCTGCAAAGGGCCACAGGCAAGGGGGAGAATTGCAGTACAAAGCTTAGCACAGCAATGTTCATATAGTAACAAAGTTGTAAGGTGTCTTTCTCCTCCCCGCCTTCCTACCTGCATAAAGTAGGAGGGCTTTTGGGAAAACAGGTCTGCAAAACTGAGGCTCCACAAAAACTGCTCTTGAACTGTAACGCTTAATGCAACTGAAAAGAGGAAAATAATACATGTATGAAGGAACTGCCATGTTTTCTGCATTCATCAATGTAGCTACCATTTCCCTTAACACCAAACCTCATTTTCATCTCTTCTCTCTTCTGTGGGCCAGGCTGCTCAAAGGCCAGCTCGGGCCCGCCGTCGACAGAGGGATGTCTGCGCATCGGTAGGAATACCTAATAAATCATGCCTCCAGCTGCTCATGCAGCAGAAAGTCCCCGGCTAAACCTGTTGAATACTTTCTACCTCACCGAGTCACAAAGAGTGAAGGGAGTTAAAAAAAAGAAAAAGAAAAAGCCGCCCAGCACAAGAGCCCGGCGCGGGGGGGTTAATACAGAGGGCGCGTTTTCACGGAAACCTCAGCTCCGCCGCAAATTACCCTGGGAGGAGTTTCCCAGAAGAGGAAAGGGGGAGTTCGGCTAACCCGACGAAGCCAAACCTGAACTAAGCGCGGACGAGCGGTAGCCGGGTGGTTCCTGCGCGTGCCTCAAATCGTTTCCCTCGAGGCGGCAACCAGCCCGCTTCCTCCCCCCCCCCCGCCGCCTCCCTTTTGGCTACGCTCCCCAGGCGAGTCCGAGCGCTTCATCGGCCTCTCCTCCCGCCGGGCGCGAGGTTCCCAGCTGCAGCCGGAGGCGAAGCGGGCCCTCCCCGAGGAGGGCCAACCCGGCAAAGGCAGGAGAGCCGCCGCCAGAGTGGGAGAAGGGGGAGTCTCCCTCCCGCACTAGCATCAGGGAGGGAGGGAGAGAGGGAGGAGGACGGCGCTGGGAGAAGGAGGGGGGGCGCGCTCGCAAAACGCCCGGGCGCAACTGACGCTTTGAGGGGCGTCTGGCTGCGGGTGGCCCGCTCTGCGCTCCCGACACACCGGCTCAGCTCTTCTCAATGAATGAAGGAGCGGGACCTTTTGGGTGCACTCGGGATCACTTGCGAAAGCAGCTCAGCTCGGGACCGTCTGCGCTACAGCCGTCCGCCTGCCCCACCGCGTAAGTAACCGCGTTGCCTGGTGGTTGGGATGGTCGAGAATGGGGCGAATGTGCTTTTGTTTCTTTTCTTTGTGGGTCCCCCTTCCTCTTCCCCCGCAACTCCTCCTCCTCCTCTTCCCTGGGACGCGGGGGAGGGTGGTGATCCGGCTCCACCTGACCCTTCTTGAGATGCGCTACTCGAGAGTTGGCGCCTCCTGAGCAGTGGCGGCGGCGGCGATCGCCCCATTGTTTCTTGAGAGGGGGCTCGGGTGGTGGTAGGCAGGCATTGTTCCTGCAGCTGTTTTGCCCGGGGAAGAGCGCTTCCGACCTAGCGGGGCCGAGCGTTGATTGACTACCAAGAGTTTCGAACTAGTTGCAACCGGGAAGAGCGGCCAGACAAAGCCAGAGGGGACCGGCAGAAATGTGGTGGGGAGAAGCGGCGGTGACGACACCTGCGCGTTTCAGAGTTCTCTGGGGGAGGCTTTCCCAGCTCCCCGGCCTCTCTCGGTTTATTTGTTTTTTTTTCTACAGCGTCGCTGATTCCTTAAGTCGCTTCTCGTTCACACGAAGGGCTGAAACGGCAAGGGTTGTGATTGCACACTCCCGGGTTTGAACTCGCTTGAGTTCAGAAAAGTGCGCGCCCGGAGTTCGCCTCGCATCTTTTGTTACCTAGAGCGGCTTGGGCAACCGGCTTCGTGCCGCCGAGCCGCGCTTTCGAAGCCCTTTTAACGCTGGGCGTGTTTAAAAGGCTAAGAAAGCAGCTGCCTCTCAACCGTGGGATTTTTGTGCCGTTCTCTCCTGGAAGTAAGGATGAAATAGATTTTGTTTACACTTGCCTTTCTCTCCGCCTTCCCGGCCCTTCAGTTGGCTTGTGCACACACGCACACACACTTCTGTGTAAAAGATTTTGCTGGCTCTGCTTCCCAGGAATCTCCTGGGAGAAGCCAGGGTTGCCAGCAGGTGGCTTGAGTAGCTCCGTGTGACAGGTGTGTATTGGCAATATGTGGCTGCTGGTAGGGTATGCATATCTTGTTCATATGGTAGTGTGGATGTGTGTGTGAAGTACAGTGGTTCGGAGAACAAGGGTGCACCAAAGTTTTATACAGCCCTCTTGAAAATCAGGTATTACGTTTCTTCTTGGAATAAGCATCTGTGTTCCTTTGATTTTCTTTTTGTACATGAAAGATATGGGGAAATTCTTGCCTATGCTAGACTGTAAGATTGCTGAATTCTGGGGAAGGAGACAGGCACCATTTAAATACTAACCAGCTGTTGTTGTTTTTTAAAGTAACTATTTTCCAGGTTGTGTTTAAGCAGCTTCTTTGATTTGTGTTCAGCGTGCTTCCCTTGAACTTGTTTCAAGAAAAACTTGCAGCTTTTAAGGGGAGAAATTCTTTTAAAAGGTGGTTTGAATAAACTCCCCTGGGTAGTCCAAGCTTTGGAGAATCACCACCTGTTGGTTTGTCTAGACTACATTTTTGTAATGTTCTCATGTTGTAAACAAACCTTATATCTATTCCGTGCTTAAAATAATGGGCCAGACAGCTCAGTGTTTCTCATGTTCTTTTTCCTTTGATAACAAAAGTCACTTTCAAATTCCATTTAGTAATATTTTATGAATATTCACCCCTACTGCTTCTTGAAGTCAGTCTGTCTTTTAAAACTTATAGTTCTAAAATTCCAGCCACAACTTGGTTGCTTCATTCATTTCAGAAGTTGAAAGTGCAATATATCTCAATTTTTTCAGCTTCTTACCTTTTAAATACCTATTTCATGTTTAGTTTCGTGTTTAATGAAAGAAGCTCTCCTGTGTATTGTGTAAAAAAAAAGTTGCATAAAATGACAAATAACTAATGTTTGCTGACTTATCTTCAGAAATGGGATCCAACATCCAGGAAGGTGCTCTGTCTTCTGATATGGACAGGAGTCCCTCTCCCTCCCCAGTGCCTTCCCCTAGACAGCTTAGGGGGAAGAAATCTAAGGCTTCCAGACAGGTGAAGGCCTCCAGATCTGCCACAGCAGATAAAGATGCCCAAAGGAGGCATAAGGCATTAGAAAAGCAGTTTGCTAAGGCTAGGCAACGGGCCCAGGACCCTGGTCAAGGACCAATTCCTGAAGGCTTGAGCCACGAGGTGACCTGTGAGCCTCGGCCTCTCATGATGTAGATTTATTGGCCAGTGGTCTGAGGGAGGATGGACCATCGACCTCTCAGGAGGTTCCAATTTCTGCGCCTAATCAGTCAAGGGCTAGTGTCAGGTCCCGCTCATCTAGTTTTGCAAGCCATTTTTTCTCAAGCTTCTAGGTCAGGACCTGAAGCTACCTTTACACCCACTGCAGCCGGCCTCCGTCCTGAAGCGGGCCCAGGGTTCCCTCAGCCTGTGGATTTTCAGTCCTTTTTTTCTCAGGCCATGTCCCATATGTATCAAATGGGGTTGCAACAAGCCACTGGTGCCTTCCCTGCTCCTACGTGCCATACTACTTCTGCCTTTTCCATGCATCCCCCTGGGGCACAACATCAACAGCAATCTGTTGCCTGTAGCCTTGTGCCTGAATCAGCCCGGGAGGACGATTTCCTAGATGACTTTGAGATGTCAGAGGATGAAGAAGAGATTCAGGACAAGCCGGCCTTTCCGGGTCTATTTAAGCCTTCTCTGTTTCGCTCTCTCCTACGCAAGGCAAAAGCTGCCACTAATATGGATTCCACGCCTCTTCAGGGCTCCTCTTCTTCTACTCCATCTGGCCCCAATAGTAACTTGTTCAATCTACCTCAACCTGATGAGGACTTCGTTCCCTGTCCGGATCTTTTCTGCCAAGTTGTTCAAAAGCCTTGGGACCGCCCCGCCTCGTTGTCGGGTCCGAATTCATTTGATCGAAAGCTCTATGCATCGGCCCCTGCGCTGGATGCCCTCCTGCAGTTACCTACAATTGATGATCCGGTGGCGAGTCTCACATCGTCTTCCATCCTGGTAGGTGAGGCTGGGGATGGTCTCAAGTTTGAGGACAAACGAGCCGAAATGGGGTTTCGTAAAACACACCAAGCGGCGGCTTGGGCCATTCGTGCTGCAACCTCCTCATCATTCTTTAATCGGGCATCGCTGGTGTGGTTGCGCCAATTGAAGGACAGGCTTCCCCCGGAGGACGCACGATTACAGCAGGACCTGGCCAAACTGGTCGCAGCTGCTGAATATTCGGCTGACGCGTCTTTGGACGCAGCTAAGTTCGCTTCCCGGGCCTTAGCTTCGACTGTATCTTCAAGACGTCTCTTGTGGCTCTGTAACTGGAGAGCTGACGCCAAGTCGAAATGGCGCTTGACTGCTGCCCCTTACAAGGGCCCTGCCTTATTTGGCTCATACCTGGACTCTGTGTTGGTCGAGAATAGGGATAAGAAGAAGGTGTTACCCACGTCTTTCCGATGCCAGGAGAGGCACTATGTACCTTATAATCGACTGCCCTTTCGACAAGAGCAAGGCGCCGGGGGCGCCTCTTACTACAGATCTTCGCAGTCTCAGTACCAGTCAACTTCGGACAGGGCGCCCTTTCGTGACCGCGGTCGCCGACAATCCAACTTCAGGCGACCTTTCAGACAGTCGGCGGGCCGTTTTTCCAGGCGCGGTAAGTGACTCACCGCCTCCAGTCCCAATCGGGGGCAGGCTCCAGGCATTTTCTCACCTGTGGCCAACTACCACCTCGGATGCCTGGATTGTCCAAACTGTCACCGAAGGGTTACGTTTGGAATTCACCACCATGCCACAGGACTTTTACTTTCAATGCCCTTGGCCACTTCAGCCGGAGAAGCGATCTCTGCTGCTACTCGAAATTCACCATCTGTTGCAAATCCAGGCCATAGAACAGGTTCCATTGGATCAACTCAAAACCGGCTTTTATTCAACACTATTCCTGGTACCGAAATCCTCGGGCGATTGGAGAGGCATTTTGAACCTTCGACGTCTCAATCAACACATCTTGTACCGTCGGTTCAAAATGCATTCCCTCAAGTCTCTGCTGGGCTGCATTCGTCGGGGAGATCTGATGCAATCTGTAGATCTAAAGGAAGCGTACTTGCACGTCCCCATTCATCAGTCGCACAGGAAGTTCCTCCGGTTTGCGTTTGGAGACCACCATTTTCAATATCGGGCTATGCCATTCGGCCTTTCGTCCGCTCCGAGGACGTTTACAAAGTTGCTAGCAGCAGTAGCGGCGTCGCTCAGAGAGGTTCCGGTTCGTCTGGCATGTTACCTCGACGACATTTTGATCCTGTCGTCTTCTCTCGAACAGGCGGCCCAGGACCGGGAGCTAGTACTTCAGTCCCTTCAAGACCACGGGTTCACTTTGAATCTTGCCAAAAGCCATCTTGTTCCCACATCGAGTATCCTACATCTCGGAGCAACGATAGATTCGACGCTGTGTGTGGTCTCCCTATCTCCCGACAGACAAGCCAGCATTCGGGAACTGACATCTCAAGTCTTACTACGCTGGACTGTGACCTTACTGTCTCTCTCCCAGCTTCTGGGAAAGTTGATATCTTGCATAGACATTGTTCCGTGGGCGCGTTTCCATCTTCGTCGCCTCCAATGGTTCCTGCTCCCTTACCAGAGACAAGGTCGAGCGGAGTCTCTTCTCAAGGTAAAGGTTCCAGCTCCCGTTCGCCTTTCCCTGAGGTGGTGGCTGTCTCCGGCCCTCAACAAGGGTTCCCCCTTTCTGGAACCAGCTCGGATGGTGTTGACCACGGACGCAAGTCTGCGAGGCTGGGGGGCTCACCTCGACCGTCAGCTAGCCCAAGGTGCCTGGTCATCGGCGGAAAAGCTGCACAATATAAATTGGCTAGAGCTCAGAGCGGTCCGACTCGCCCTGATACACTTCAAACACCTTGTATATCGCCAGGACCTTCTGATTCTAACGGACAATGTGGCCACCAAGGCCCATATCAACAAACAAGGGGGGACCCGCTCCTGGACACTAATGCAGGAGACGGAGCGTCTTCTGTCATGGGCGGAGCTCCACCTCTCGTCGATAAAAGCCGA